CAATTGAATCTTGTTGAGAAATCTCGTTTAAATATTACATATTAGCTCAGTTTAGTCGTTCTTTCTTCTACCAGAGGACACAGTGAATTCTGAGATTCCTAAAATTTTTGTCCACAAAAGGGACGAGATCTCGATAAACCAATATCATGATAGTTCTATACTACTAAAGTCCTTTCATTTTATAACGTTCCCAGAGTGGGAGAAAATCTGATGATTTTTGATCACTTCCTTTTTGTCTGTTGTTCAATGCGACGAGAATCCTATCATCATTTTGTTGTCCATACTACCATGTTTACAGGAACTTTTGGCAGAAGATGTATCTATTACTAACGTTTGTGAAGTGATATGAACTTAGAAAATTCCACCAAATAATCTGAAGATCAGCCAACGTATATGACTGTTCTATAATACGGATAAACCTTACCGATGTAACGTTGTCTTTAAAATAACTAACGAACTATATATTACAGAAGTTGGTCTTTATCTCCAACCATGCGCAATTTATATAAATGTTCTGACATCAAACAGAAAACGAAACTTCCAAGACTTCTTGACAATTTAGGCAGCTATATTCACTCTACATTATCTTTAGTGCTACTAATAACTTTCATTATAGTAGTAAAGCTCTTTCGGATCAAAATGCAAAAGGAAAACGAAGGACTCAAAAAAAATATTAAAAGATTAACAAGAGATCTCTATAATTAGCTATCTTAGATAGATGATAAAACGGATATTAAAACAAAATGAAATTACTGCACACATGAACAACATATTGCCAAAAAACACTATTCCTTTCTAAACAAGAGATCAGCATACTGATGATACAAAAAAAAGGCCAGAACACTTTCAGAAATAAACTTTATTGCTTCATCTTCGAAAAATTTCTAACACTTACAGAATCAGGGAAGTACCTCCTAATTCTGTCGGGTGAAGTTCTTTTTCGTAGACCGATAATTTCACCATGAAAACATAAAACACGAAAGACAAACAATATATCATTTGAAAGAGGAGAATCTGGAGAATCCATATATGCAAAAATATCTTTGATCGTATGTAAAATAGTCTCGTACTAGTTAAAACAAAAGGTGGTAAAATTTTCCGACAGAATTAGGAAAATGTACTGTACTGTAAGGGATACTCATAAAAGTACGCTCACTGAGCAAGCACTGGTATGGATACCCGCACATGTAATTTTACTGAGGAAAACTCTACATGATACCCTACATTTGTCGCGTTCTGCGTAGCGACTGTTCATTCACCGTTTTCTTTTTCGCGCGCGGCTTCGTATAAACAACTGAGCAAAACAGAAGAAATTAATCTGTTTTCATACTGATTTTTTCTATATTATTTCTTCACTATTTCTTAGTCGAGAACTTTCCGATCATGATCGTAGATTAAGAGCGGACTATCCTGAGGTGGTCTCATGGATACTCGGCCAACTCAAGTTCAGTCACATCTCGATATTTGACCTGTTGAGTTTTCGGAATTGAAAAAATTAAATATAATAAAATTGAAAAAAATGTAATAAATCACTTTGAGAGAAAAAAATGCAAAAAAGTGAAAGGTCAGGTTCGATCCTGAACATACTGAAATTTTGGTAGTAGGGTAGCTAGAAATACTGCACAACAGTACCCAATTGAGTATCTGACCAGTATCTTCAAGTACCCAGTTACTGTACATTTTGTAGCAGGGTACCTGCCAAAGTATCTATAAGTACTTTGGTACCCAAAAATTCCTGTGACATATTGGTAACAGAGTACTTTTTCAGGTACCCTTAACTCAGTATATTCTCTAGGGCTGGCACCATGATATACTGATTCAATTGAATATTTCTTTATCAAAATGATCAGCGCAACGAGCTCTAGAAATATCTACAGACAAAAAAGTCTTCTGAGAGATTTGTGTTTTTTGCAGTTGGCTACCCATGGAAGTGTCCACCAAAAATACGATTTGTAAGTATTTTGTCATTGGCATATAGATCAGAAATCTCGTGATATTTATTCTATATCCGAATGTTAAAATCTAAAAGTTTTTCAATTTTTGGTTGTTCATCAGTAATATAGCTTCGAAGTGTCCTCTGTCAAATACTATATAAATGACAGCTCTTCGTTGTTAGTTACTATGTTTATTTAATCCATTGTTCGAAATTCTTAGCAGCAAAAATCGTGTTGCGATTATTCTTTGTATACGAAATTCTCCTAATGATAATGATTATTTTTCATTTTAAACGTGCTGAGAGCATGGATATGGATCTCTCCAGGGTCAGTTTTCGATTACTTCAGCTGGAGAAAAAAGTTGTGATACATAACAGGAAAATTTGTTTTTCGTTTTTGTCAAAATCAATTTTTACACAAAAAAAAAGTGCAGAAACACCTCCATTTCCTCAACATAGTACGTTCGATCGAGCTGAAACTTTTTTTACAGGCACTAGACACTGTTTATGCTGCCTAATTTTCTGTTGTTTTGAAAAATATGATATCGATAGTTTTTCGTAGATTTTACAAAAAAAGCTCTAGTAAAAAGAACATGTATTTTTCGAGACATGCTCAGTATTTCGATATTTCTATTCGAATGGAAGGAGATAAAAAGAAACCAAAAAACAATAGTCACTCCAAACAGCATCTAGTATCTATAAAAAAAAATTTCAATTCTATTGGACGTATTGCGGCTCACAAAGCGGGGTAATTTTTAGCCTTTGCAACCCAGATATTTTCTATAAGAACCTATTTGGAACTTTGAAGTCTATGACAACTTTTTCTCTACTCATCGAGATTTATTTGTCCTGAAATTTTCAAAGAGTTCTGATGAGTTAATCTTTAGAAACTCCAGAAAGAAGGGAATCTCCTTAATGTATATTGTTCAGTTTTTGTCTACCAAATAAATTTGATATATATCATCTGAGATACTTTGAATGAGAACACATTACATGATAAATCTAATGGTCATACATATTCATAATTAGTGTTCTATTTATCATCACATATTTCAGTTCATTAAAACATTTTTCTAAAGACTGTTGAATTATTCAGGATTAGTTCTGCCTACGTATTGTTAGCAGATTATAGGAAGTTCTTTTTTTCAGTTGAGCAGATGGTTCGATCCCATTTCTGACTTCAATTATACAATTTATAAATATATCCAAAGGTCAATTGTCGTACCGTACTAACTCTTTCAAATAGTATTTCATATTATCGACAAAATATTCACTTATCACTTATTGATCTATAGTTGAAAATCAACAATATAAAAATCTTGTGCATATAAAGTAAAACCTCCGTTAGTGAACACCTCTATATAATGAACATCTCCTACGTGAACGCATATCTTGGATCCCTTCCGATCAACTTTGGCTGTAAACAAACCTCTATATAGTGAACACTTCCCAACTCTGAACAATGAACATTTTTATTGGTCCTTTCAGCAAAGAAAAACTTCTATATAGTGAACACACAAGAAACAACGTATGCATGTGTGTATGAAAAGAGAAAAAGAGCCAACGCAATGTGCACTCTGAAGTGGTGCTAGGCCAATTCGTTGTACGCAGAAAATAAAATGAACAATACAAATCAATAGTCCGTGACGAATTGACCGACTAACTCTGAAGCAATAGTGCACTTGTCTATTTGTCAGCATGAAATGACGCCAAGACTTTCGCTTTCAATGAATGGAACGAAGCTATCAATAATCTGTTCATAATGGATGGAGAGCCCGACAATAGCAATAATTACGAGGAAGACGACGACATGTCGACTGAGACGTCGACCAAGCTTATCGAGGTAATGGAGATGGTCAGGCGATTTGCACCTAATAGTTGCAACTCAGCAACCACAGCTGTATTCTCTCATCGCGCAACTCAACTCGTAGCTCACTCATTTCTAAAGTTGACAAATAAAAGAAAATATAGATGCTATAGTTTGAAATAATTTTTATAGTTTAGTGTTATACTCCCTTGATTTTGTTGATGAATTAATAAAATGTTTCAAATAATAAAGTTTATAGAACATACGATAGCAAAATTGGAAGAGAAGGTACTTTAATATATACAAGTTGAAATTAAAATACATCGATATTAATTCATTTTTTTCTCATAGGTGCAATTGACAATCATCCGAATAAATACAAAGAATATAATTTTCTATTAATAAGCAATAAAAAGAGGGAATATAATTCTCTCAAGATGATTATTACGCTTTATTGAGATCATTGATTTTTAGTTTAATGACACTCATATTATGCATAATTAATTCTACTGTTTTGGCATTCACATAGAAATAAGAAAATGGTGCTTCATTCTGTCGCAAGTTATCGGCGAAGCTCGCTGTTTAGTTGAAAGAAAACAAAAAAAAACAGGTCCATTAGTTATTTTGAAACCATAATATCTAATTTTCTATCCTTGTTGGATCAAGTGATCGTTACAAGAAAGATGCAATGTCAAAAACGAACTGTCTTCCTATTATGGTTATGATTTATAAAAATCTTGAGATGATCCATCTGAAAAAGTTGGTATAGAAGTAAAGCCTGTCAGATCCGAAAAAATTTAGATCTGATAGACTCTATTTTTAAAAAAAAGTGGTGTCATCTTATCTGCTTGGTAATCTGTACGAATCAGACAGATAATTATGCTATTTCTATGAGTAACAGCAATAAAAAATTGTATGGCTACGCTATGTAAACTTCGTTCTTTTTATTCACACCCATTATTTACCAACCTTCTTTCTTCTTTCATTTTAACTTCAAGCAAATGAAATAATCAAACAGTGAATTGTGCACATTCATGATTGTTTCATTGTTTTTTTTGTCTACTAATTTTATTTTTCATTATTTTGAATTGGTTTGTATATGGGCTTCGTTTGATAAATTTTTTTGAATAAATAAATAGCATAAATTGTATATTTGTATTATGAGGTTTTTTTCATACTTTTTATTTCCATAGACTCATGCAAGGTAATAATTATCAAGGATGAAACCCAAAAGATTTATCTTCTTATTTTTTTATAAAGAGAAATGAATAGTATTCGTTATAGTTTATCGTAATCTTTTATATACAAGTAAACATAAACATGAGAACATCCAATGTTTATCTATCCACAATTACGTATTTTTTACAAATACAAAATTTTTTCTATGCTTCATATTCTTTTCTTTCTCTGTTTCTAACCAGTTGTGTTGGTGTATAATCATCATCGTTACCTTTTTTTCTTTACTACTCTTAACGAAACTTCTTCACTCGAATTCTGTAACACATACAATATAGTTTTAAAATTGCATACTCATTCATTCTCTCACTCGTTCTTTCTCTCCTTTAAATCAATATTGACTAAGAAATAATGTTGTTAAAATACATTTTATAGCAGTACCCTATCAACGCACAGGTTGTTGCTCGCCCTGAAGGCTTAGACTCACAAAAAAAAAAAGAAAATTCTTTTCTTTTCTTTTCTTTTTCTTTATAACATCAAGTATAATATTCAACAGCATTTGAGATTCGTGTATAGGTACTCATTTTCATTTTTTCTATTTCAAGCAGATAAGACATCAACGTTTTTTTTTTTGTGTTGGTCGATAAGAATTCTATTAGATAAAACTATGAAAGTGACTTGCTTAGCGCGTTTTGAATCGAGTAAAATTCTTATATACTTTTAGCTGCATTTATGTATTGTTATAGAATTACAAATGCTGCCAACACAAGAAAATATAGCCATACAAACGGATATATTACCAACACAAAATATAGGACATCTAGATCAAAATCAACCACAAGTGTACTCGTTACTATCTGATTCAAAGAGTCCTTCATCAATAAAAAAGCCTCGACGAAAAAAAACGACGAAATTAGAAGAAACTATTCCTGTGATGCTTAATCCACAGATAACAAGAACGCCTACCGGCATTACTTTTGGTGCACCTTATCATCATCATCATCATCATCATTCGATGACATTACCAGAATCTATACCGTCCTTCGTATCCGCACCTCTTATAAATGGTCATACGCTTCCTTTTAGACTTTTGATAGAACATGATTCATATGATGCAAATAATAATATCAATCATAATGAAATTTCATCACTTTCTATGTCTTTAAATTCTTCAGTATCAGTTCAAACTCAACAAAGTCCTCCATGGTCAAATGATTCTGTGCGAGTCATTAATTCGAATTCGATGTCACAAATGATCGCGGAATCACAGCTTGTTGGATTAAACCGAATATTAAACAATAAAATTGATGAGAGAACAGTATCAATGTGTTCAACACAGCAAAATGAATATAAATATCTTAGCCCATCATTTACGTATAGTCGTCAAGAGTCCCCAATTAGTCACTTCCACCCTATTCCATCCTCGTTATCTTCCACACATGTATCTGCTGTTGCACCTACAAAACCAAAGAACAGTAAGATAAAAACATCTCAAAAATATATGTAATATAAAACATTTTCTTATTTCATTAAGAGCACCCAAAAAGACTAGATTCCCGTAGTCCTATCGAACAGCTACATTCTACACAACAAATCTCTCAATGTCCAACTACTTTTACACAGTCTACGGTTTCAAATGGCTTGCCATCTATAATACCAACATCTGTAACTGTAACGCCGATTAATTCTGATGAACCTCCACTTTCCATGGACATATCAATGACAACAAATTTCATACCATTGACACCACCTGCTTCAATAAGTTCAATAAAATCTCCACCGACTAACATTAAGAATGAGTATTCATTGATACCAATTCAAAAAAATTTATTATCACAGACTACAAATAATACTACTGACGTAAACTCAATATCAAGACAATATTTTCATGATCAAAGATATTCTCAAATGCAAAACACAATTAATAATTCAAATACGAATAATTTGCCATACAATTTACAGCGTTTATTAGTTGCTGCTAATCAACAATACTGTATGGTTCATTCTGACTTGATACCTACAAACATTCTACCATTGACATGTGCTTCTATTTTACCTGGAACTATCGCTACTACTCCTTCAATATTAATGGCATCTGACATAAAAAAGAAAAGGAAAAGATGTGTTCGAAAACCTAAAGTTATGCAAAGTCCTATAGGGGAAATTTCAACACATGAACAATCTTTGACTTCTAAATCATTAACAGCAGCTGTATCTACTACTAAAGAAAGAAAACATAAAAAATCAAGTAAGAAAGATATTCGCCCAAAAAAACAATTACAACGTCTTACACGTCGAAATCGATTGGCTGTTCTCAAGTTCATGATGCAAAAGCGAAAACAACAAAAACAAGAACGCATATCAATACAAAAACTTCCTGATATCAAAACACAACAAGTTGTACCGAAATTGATCAGCACTCAGACGGTGAATTCAGACAAAATTGAGCCACATTTACCAGATATTATTGCACCAAGTTTGAAAATTTCCTTTGGTGCAAGTCAAAACATTGAATCGATTTCTCTTTATTATCATCGCCGGCGTAAACCTGATATTATCAATAAAAGTTTTTCGAATTCATTGACTAACAGTGACAATAAGCTGAGTTTATTGATTGAAGCAGTCGAACTCATCGAAACCTTGCATGGCAACTCAAAACACGTACTATCTTCAGATAAATGAATAATGCAATAGTAAGAAAACTTATCCATAGTTTTTAATGGTTCAAATTTTGTTTGACCTTAAATCAAGAAAATTGTATGTCCTGTGTGCACATTTCACAGAATCAAAAAACAAATAATTATCTTTCATATTTTGTGATCGTAGAGTTTTAATTAGATTTAATTTATTTCGATGATGAATATCGATTTTGTTGGATCAACAACTAAACTTTGTACAATTTCCATCAGTCATAGAGAGTACTGAAAGATCGTGATTCAATTGAACTTGTATACTAAAGAAGCAATGTTTATGGATATACATAAATTCGAAAATAGAAAAAAACACATCAAAATATGTTTAAAAAAACCATGAAAAAAAATCTGTTTTGAAATATTATATCAAACGCTTAAGACGAAACGAACTGCAATTAACATCGTATGTATCATCTATGTAGAATAGCAGATGAACAAAATAACCAGAAAATATATCATTGACGAATACGGTATGCAAGTCTAAAAGGATCGATGAATAATTTTAAGCTCGACTATTGTGATTTCTAAAAATGATATAAGTTTTGCGTTATCAAGCAGAATAGTGTTGTCAAAATTTGAAAGCATAATATTTCATAGAATAGTAGTTCTCCTGCGGATCAGATCAGCTGAGTTCATATGTTATTCATAGGTGCAAGCCTCGCACATGAAAAAAAATTAATTTGGCACGAGAGATTTCATTATGTGACTTTACTGACATATACACTTTTTATTTTTGAGACTTTCCTGAAGAAGCTTTTGGTTTCTGATAAAATTGTTCTTGCAAATTTTCATTCAAAGTAGATCTTTATTGAAGACTTATATCCCTCAAACAACCTTTCTACCAACGAAAAAATGACTGCAAATCGTATTTTTGGTGCAAATTTTGATAGGAGCAAGATAGAGAGCTGCAGTTTTCACTGTGAGAAAGAGGAGATGAAGACGCATCGAACTATATATTATAAGTTTTTCTAATATGCTTTGTGAGACTTTTAAAATCAATTTTCTAAAAAACCTAGCGGAAAAGTGGTTTTTATCAAAAAGGAAAAAGCAAAAAAGTGAATTTTTTTCATAGCAATTGCTAGACGAATCGGCTTAGAGTTTCGACTATAGTACCTATAGCTCCTGAACTATTGAAGCTAAAAATCTGAGCCCTGCTCAGTTTAATAGATCTTTAATTGGCAATTTCAATGCACACCAGATGATCTAAAATTTACTGTAGTCACCTGTCGAGTGCGTTGTTTTTCAAAAAGCTTATTTGAAAACCGTAGAAAAACTAGGTCAAAAAGCCTGTAATATACGATTCGACGCGTCTTTATCTCCTCTTCCCAACGGTGAAAACCGAAGCTCCCTTTCTTGTTTCTATCAAAAGTTACACCAATAATACGATTTGCTGCAGTCATGTTTTCGTTGATAGTTTAGTAAATTTCTATAGCGTAGCCAATTTAGAATGGCAGTTCATACTTGCATAAGCTTTCCTTAGCGTGTAAGCCTTTTCGTACTACGGAAGATTTTAATGCCGAAGAAGTCATGCTTTGTGGGAGTCGACTTTCTCGAATTGTAGTAAATAGGTCACAAATGGTAGGAACTGACCAAAAAATCCGTATTGCCCTGGTGGCCTGTTAGATGCCATTCACGATGAAGACTAGTAAGAAATAACAAGCTTCTAGGTTTCGAGGCTTCAACACTAGAGACTTCAAAATTTCGGGAAAATTCATAAATCTCTAAAGACTTTCGTGGCACTTTGTCGAACTTCAGAAGACGTCAAAACTGACGTTGCCTCCGGTTTTCTCTAGGATGAATAACGAGGCCTTCACGAAATCACTTACAAACTATCATATGTACATCGTTCTTACATCGTTTCTTGAAAACCTCTCAAGAATACATGCTCATATTCTGAGCGCAAGCCAAGTGGGTTAGTATATCAAGCTAAAGCACCATACAGTGGCATATAGTTAACGGACTCTAAAGGATTTTATACCATACTATTGAGCGTACGGCATAAAAGTGTCTCTAGGAGGTGCAACATGGTGCCCAGTTTCTTCCGCTCTTTTCAGGTCCACAATGTTTCTGTTTATTATATTGAGATTTCATTAGTCTCTTTCCGCTGCTTAATCCGTGTGCCCAAGGCTGGAACCGGTTGAGAAAACATAAATCGGTCCGGCCGGTTAGAATCGCATGTCTAACTAGTGAAATTTTCGTGAAAACCGGTTAAAAGTCGGCGAAAAGATGACACATTTTTTTGAAAAACGATTTTTAGAAAAAACGATCCCACAAATGAAATAGTTTAGGAGCACCCGTAAAAGACACTCATCATGAGAAATCTTTTCAAAGAGAAGCTTAGAACAAATGATTAAAATAACATATGTTTTGAGCAGTTTTTTACGCATTCTGACAGAAAAATATGTGACACCTAAGTTTTTATGACCAAAAACAGGGTTAACACAGAAGATTTTTCAAAACTTTCAATCGATGAAATTCCGATCGCTACCGGACCGACCCGGTCCGGCTCTGCGTGGATCCATAGCATTTGTCAAGCCATTTTTGGTGCTACTATGTGCTTAGTAAAAGATATGTCTCTATTACCTTTTCTCATAGCCCACATTGGCTTTCTTATGAGTTGGCTGCAACAAATTCCATTTCTGTTTATTTACCTTTCAACTACCGTTATTCTGTAATCCGTGCGTCGTTCGGATCAATACAGATACTCTTTGTAGTTTCACTATCCAGACTTAGGTCAAGCCATGCACTATCTAAATGACCGAATACAATTTATTACAATGTAACAGAACGTGAAAATATTGACGATAGCAAAATCAATGTGAGTCTATCATCAATATAAGCACAGACTGTAAAGTAAATCGCCACAGCAGAGCGGCTACGTTGTCCAACACGTATTCATAAAGTACTATATTCAAACTTCGGTAGCATCATCCATAGAATGACCCTGCGCGAGTCACTAACGACTGATTGTCTCGGATCATCCATTCGATATCATGCTGACTATGTAGAAGCACACATTTGCTCTTGTGGCTAGTATGAGGCTAGTTGGTGTACATGGGAGAACTCAAGAAGTCGAGCACAAGAATTCTGAGTTAGGCCAGCCTTCCGTACAGAGCTACAGCTAGTCGCAGTTGTAGGGAAGCTATTGGGCTATTGAATCTGTTGCTAAGCAGCACATCATACCGCAAGGTAGCCAAAAGGCAGGAGTCAAGTTCTTTGTCCTGTGTTGTAGTTATTGGCGTTGGAATAGTGGTGCTTTAAGTATCATTAGAGACACAGACATTATAATTTCGCAGTAATAAATGGCATTAATATAGTCTGTCTACCGATTCTGTAAGTATAAGTTCGGCTAGCCGTAAAAACGCCATAAGCATTAAACATACGTTTCGTTCACAGTACGAATTGAATAAGGTTATACTACCATATCTATCTACACGATGAATATGAAATGTTTGTGCCTCAATAGTTATTCTTGTTTCATAAACCTACTATGATAAGTGCAGAAGGCATAAAATTCAGATTGGCGATTTGCCAGTCGTCCAATAATCTATTTTTGAATAGGTAATGAAAATGGTCGACATTTCAGCGTACGGATTGTCCGGCTAACAGTCAAATACAGTAATTAATGTAAGGCCAACATATTTCCGAGAGCTGATTATGTCTCGTTGTAGAGTGCGCGTTATTCTGTCAGAAAATGTATTTGTTTTCATCACGGAAAGAAAAGATGGGTATGGTTTTTGGAACTTATTATTGTTGTTGTGTTATCGAAGGAAATGTTAAAAAAACAGAAGAATAGCTAAACATTAAAGTGTGGTATATATTTTGAATCTATGAAGTATGGGCTTTCTTCTGATAAAATTTTCAATTGTTTCATAACTTATCGAAAAACATAGGAAACAACTATAAACCTCATCAAGCCTAACATGAACGCTTTAGCAAAATAGGCTTTTAGGTTAGTTTACACTACAGCCTCAGAAGCATTTTTATCGGCAACTAGGAACTTTCTTTAACTTTCGATGGGCTGTGCAATGGTCGAGTCAGTTTTTACTTACGTGCTTTGTTGATGAGAAAAAAAGGTAACGCACACATGCAGCCTATTCATTACCATAGTATAGATTTTAAATTCTTTGTTTGAGAAGATCAGTTGCTCCAGTAGCATAAAGTTTGCAATGTATTCGTCAGAGTCGCTATCTTGCAAAGGTATTAGTAAGCATTATTTTTACTTAGGCAGGCGTGCCACTCTTCCAGGTTCGGTCGGAACAGACAGGTGAACCTGTGATCTGATCTTCAGAAGCTTTCCGATTCATACCTTGCCGGTGCATACGTTCAATGATAATAAATGCGCGTTGTACTTTCATCACGTTCTTCGCAGACGTCTCGATTGCTTTTTCTAAGTTCTTTTTTGAAAAGGTGACAAATGGTTAGCTACACAACATATGGCAGGCTAATGCCTAAGGCGATTTTGCATTATACAACTGTTGAAAGAAATAAAACAGACTTGTAGCTTCTACATATGTGAATAGACAGTTTTTGTTAGCTAGGACTTGCTTAGGACACATCAAAATGTTTAAAAAGTAGTCTAGTCGGATGTGGTGACCTCTAGATATATATTAGACCGCTGGATCAAGCTATAACATCTGCTAATAGATAACGACTTGAAACCAGCTACAATATCTCAATGTCATCAGAACTTTTTTTTTCTAAAAGCAAAAACAGAAGATAGCATTCTAATAAAATAATTCAATAAAAATTTTATCAAACAAGTTTAACTACGTAGAATAATTTTTCGATAATGCTATGTTAATAAAAAAAACCCAAAAATTATACAATATCGTTGCCATACGAGAACATGTTATTTGATGCCGATTATAAAGTAATTGAACGGAGAAAACAGGATAGTTCATTTTACAACTTAACAGTTAGAAAGAACAAAGATTAATTCGACGTCATACTACTCTATATTCTATTTCAACAAGTCTTCAAGAGAAAAACAAACTCAAAAACAAAGTATGAGTGTATTACCATAGTATTTTGACTATGACTATGAAGCAACACAATATTTTTGAAAATGCCCTCTCTCATCAGATAGTCCTGACTTTTCACTGCAAACATGCTTAAGGTCATGTCTTTATAATTCAAGCATTCGCAGAAAATTTAACATTGCTGGAACCATCGACAAAAGAGAGCCTTATGTATGAGCACCTGACCGATATGTGTTTTTCTTATAAAACATGAACCACAAAAACAATTGTGATGAAAATTATAGACATTAAACAACTTTGTGTCAACCAAGTTTCATGGCTCCACACCAAATCATTGTAGAGAAATTGCAATTGAAATTCGTTACAGCATCAGTGCGCTATTGGTTGACAAGCCAATTATCAAATGGAACAAATATTTGCTTGAATCGCCAACAGAATATACACCCGTGGGCAAAAGTCTTTCCCTCACCTCCTTTTTTTAAACTTTAATATTTGCTTTCTTTTTATTATCGAACTAATATATAACATAAATACAGACCTAAACAATAGTCCTTCTTTATTCTCTTTTTTCTTATTTGCTGATTCGAATGATCCAACCTTATGTAACAATTGTTCGTGTGTAAAATATGGATCGGTATCGAGAATTGTGTTTTCATCATTCTTGTGTAAAATTCAAACTATGTCACTATCTCTATCACAACGCTATGAGATTGTGTTTCTCAAGCTATATCCTCTAGGTCCTAAAATGTCAAATAAAACTATTAAAAAGTACAGTGAGTGCGAACCAAAAGCTGTACAGCATTGGCTTGCCAGATGGCAACAAAATGAAGACCTATTGAATTCGCCAAAGATTGGGGGACCACGTGCGACATCGAAGACAACAGATGAAAAGATTGTTAACGTTGCCAAATGTGAGCTGAATGTTACATCCAATGACATTTCAGAACTTCTAAAAGAGGATAATGTGGGTATAGATCCAAATACTGTTACTTCAATTGGGACAATGTAGTTTTTACCGATGAGAAGACTTTCAAACTTGGCAACAGCGAAAGAAAAGTTTGACGGTTTCCAGGTGTCGCAAAAATTCTTTGCACAGTTAAATATCCTCTCAAGCTACGTGTCTAGAGAGTGTGTTTCAAAGCAAGGTCTTTGACAATTAATTACCTTCCAATACAATTTGACACAAGACTTTATGTGTGATTATATGAGAACGGTCTTTTGTCTACTGTTTATCGTCAGTTTCCTGAAGATTCAGCTATGTGGATCCTCCAAGAGGACAATGATCCCAAACACAGACCCGTCTAGCAATCAACTGGAAGATCGACAACCGAATATAGGTTCTGTCCTAGTCCTCTTCGTCACCAGATCAAAACTCAATTGAAAATGTTTAGTCGATGACGAAGGACACATTAGGGGGTCCCTCTCAGAAAATCAAATTTTTAGAAGAAAAGTCGAAGGCGAAGTTTTATCATAGGAAGATGCACCGAAATCTCCTCTTTCAGAATAGCTATGGTTTATCGCAAAACGAATTGATTTTAACGGACTTATTGTGTCTAAAATTTGGCTCCTACTATCATATTTTTAGAGAAAATTTAACGACTTTTTGACAAGTTTTTTCGATTTTTTAGGCTGCTTTCTTTTTGCATCAATATTTCGTGAAGGTTTCTATATATTAATCACGACGAGACTATTACTACTTAAGACTAAGATTACATATTTATAGCCTGTCCTGAACACTGATATATAATTCAGGTGTGTTTCGCAAAAAACGACTTTTACAACTTATTTAGCCTTTTTCTCAAAATCAATTTTTTTCGAGCATATCGTTTACGCGGGCAAATCTTTCTTGATAATGACTCAATATAATAATGGTAATTTTTTTTGTTATATAGCAGACAAGTAGGGCTAGGTCGTAACAGAGCCTAAGTTTTGAATTTCTCTTTTGCTGAAATAAAGAACTTAGATCTTTGATTTTCATTACCGATTTTTTTTGGCCACGAATTTGAGAATTTTCCAACAAAATATTTTTAAAAATCAGAAAAAGGAAAATTAAAAACTCGGGCTCTGTTACGGCCTACTCCTAAGCGTACTCCACAATTTAAAACCACCCCGACATGCTTAGCTCGTATTGTCACTTGGAAAACCTTGTCCGCGTAAAGGATATTTTTGGCCAATGATTTGACTATAACTCGTCAGTGTCTTGGAGACTTGGGAAGATATTTTGACCGTAAGCTATTCTAGCCAAGACTAACATTCCCTGAAATTTTGGTTGAAGTTAGAGGACAAATAAAAAAATTTGTTTCTGAGAGTCCCCTTTAATGAAACAAAAGTTCAAACAATCCAAGAGTTCAAACAAGAAATAAGAAAGGCACGGACAGCACTCTCAAATGACTTGGCTGTCAAATTGGTCGATAGAATGGAAAGATGAGCGCAGTGTTTGATTGAAGTCAATGGTGACTATACATCATATTAAAATAAATTGTCTTTATTATACTTTAGTTCGATAATAAAAAGAAAGCAAATATTGAAAATTTTTTAAAAAAGAGGGAAGAGGGGGAAGTCTTTTGCCCACGGGTGTATATACGTATGTCTAGTTTTATCATTACGCACTTTCATATTTCAAAATACTTATGAAAATATGTTTTGAATAGAGATTCAGAAAAATAAAATTATAGAACTGTCAGAAAAACATAGTAAAAGATAAAAAAAAGCGAAAATGTGGCTACAGAATAATCAATATTACATGTAAACACAACTCATAAGATTAATATTAAATTTTGCATTGATCATGAGAAAAAACATTATGTCTTATAGACAAGTATCTACCGAGGTATATACAGGCGATGTTCCTAATAAGAACAGCTGTGTCAGTGATGTCGATTGTTTTCTTTCTTTTCAAGCCATTTTTTATCGTAAAAAAAAATGTTTGCATTTCGGAGTAGAAGAGCATCTGGCAAATCGAATGATGCCAAAATCAGCTAATTATCTTGAGAATTAATTAAGTAATTAGTGGTATATTTCGGAGAAATGAATTTGTTCGTATTAGGGACCATGTTCCTAATAAGAACAACAAGCTAAAAAATGTTCCTAATACGAACAGTCTATGTAAAATACATAGAAAAAAAAAGATTTTTACTAAACGAGGTTTTTTTATATCTGAACTTGAAAATTTTGAAAAAGTTCTGGAACCAAAAATGTTCCTTATCAATCAAAGAGTTAAAATCCAAAGGTTCAGATTTTTTCAATTTGAAATAACTGAGTTATTACAATTATAAGAGTGATGTGTCTGTTCTTATTAGGAACACTGTTCCTAATTCGAACAGCCAGCAAAAAAATGTTCCTAATAAGAACACTCCATGTAAAATACATAGAAAATAAAAAATATTAACTAAACGAGGATTATCCACGTCTAAACTAAAAAATTTCTTTTTTCATCTAATAATGAAATGTTTCTTGACCCAAGATACATTAAATTCCAGCAGTTTGAGGCAAACGGAATTACCATTTGATTTATATTCCTAAAATTAATATTTCTATTTTATGTTGAATTTTTTTATTTATTTTTAAAATTATTTTTCAACAAAATTTTAATTGAATGATGTTCAATTTTAATATATATCCTATTTCCGACATATACATCAATGATAAAACAAAAAAATATCTATACATGCTACCCTCCCCCCTCCTTTGGCCTCCTTCACTGAGGTAGATTTTTTTTTAGACTTAGCATCAACAATGGATAGCTCTATGAAAAAGCTATCGATTGATATATAATTCATGATGATAGACTATTTCATTTGTCTAGAATCACGAGTTCCAATATCA